CCTATCTCTACCAAACATACAAAAATTAGCCAGTTTCATAACCCAGTCTCAAAATAAATAAATAGATAAAAAATTTTAAATAACATTTAAAAATTAAAAATAAATAAATAAAACATTTTAAAACCTCCATGATTTCATACTTGAAAAAAAAAAAAAAAAAGGAAAGGAAAGAAAACCTCACTGGTTACAGAAGTTCCTCAGTAAATGTATAAGCCATATCATACCCTATCATTTCATTGTTTTTGCAGTACCTTAAAATTTATTCTGTAGGTCACTGTTACCTTTATTTTTATCCTAATGTGTTTATAATTCTAAAAACTTGAATGACATGTCTCTGTTCCACCATATTGATAACTATGCCATCAAAAACTAGCAAAGGCAGCTGGGTGCAGTGGTGTACACCTGTAATCCCAGCACTTTGGGAGGCCATGGTGGGCAGATCCACTTGAAGTCAGGAGTTTGAGACCAGCCTGGCCAACATGGTGAAACCCCAACTCTAGTAAAAATACAAAAAATTAGCTCGGTGTGATAGCACACACCTGTAATCCCAGCTACTCATGAGGCTGAGGCAGAAGAATTGCTTGAACCCAGGAGGCGGAGGCTGCAGTGCGCCAAAATTGCACCACTGCACTCCAGCCTGGGCGACACGAGACCCTGTCTCAAACAAAAACAACAACAAAAACAAAAGCAAAAAAACCTAGCAAAGGAAAGTATAATTATTTATATATTTATAGGGAAGACTAAAAACAGAAGGGCAAGTGTAATTAACTGTTCAACTATCTTTCAGTAGGGAAATCTATGAATATTTCGAGGAACGATAATATTTTCTTGAAATGCTTAGAAGCATATAATTATGTCCAAGTTATAGGGCAAAAAAATTATTCAGAAACCCATGAACAATTAGAGATCACTGAAAAGTTATAGTGTGAAAAACCTAATTCAGAAAAGCCCATGAACAATTAGAGATCACTGGAAATCAAGTTTTTTCTTCCCCTTAGGAAGTTCATTCACATAGACGGACTGTGAGTTTATTAACTTGTTGTGTTTCATCCTTTGCTTCAGTTGGCAGGAAGCTTGTAAGACAAATTTCTGGTTTGTTTTTAGTAATTCTGCTATATTTTTGTCATGTATTAACTTTACTCTTGGTTTCCTTTACTCTTTTTAAATATTTTATTATTTATTTATTTAAAAAAAATTTTTTTAGAGACAAGGTCTTGCTATGTTGCCCACCTGGTCTTAACCTCCTCAGTTCAAGTGATCCTCCCACTTCAGCCTCCTGAGTAGCTGGGACTATAGCAAAGCTACTATGCACCATCTGATTTCTTTTTTTTTTTTTTTTTTTTTTGAGACGGAGTTTCGCTCTTGTTACCCAGGCTAGAGTGCAATGGCGCGATCGTGGCTCACCGCAACCTCTGCCTCCTGGGTTCAGGCAATTCTCCTGCCTCAGCCTCCTAAGTAGCTGGGATTACAGACACGCGCCACCATGCCCAGCTAATTTTTTGTAGTTTTAGTAGAGACGGGGTTTCACCATGTTGACCAGGATGGTCTCGACCTCTTGACCTTGTGATCCACCCGCCTCGGCCTCCCAAAGTGCTGGGATTACAGGCTTGAGCCACCGCGCCCGGCTACCATCTGATTTCTTAAATGCCATCTTATCGATTGTCATTTTGTTATATATACCTTGGTAATTGACCTCAAATGCTTTCTGGAACACAGTGGCGTCTAAGTAACTGACCAAATTAATACACGAATGTACAAAAATGATAATAAACAAATTAGATAAAATGCACCCACAGATTATGTCCATTGCTCTCTCACCCGAGGTTAGCCTAGCAGGATACTTATTCTTTATATCTGAGGTTTGTAAACTGTTACCCTACAAGGGGCAGGCTGAAGGTGAACCTGCTGTGCCTCCTTCCTCTTGTCTCCTTCACCACAACCACCAGATCAGCCCCTCGGTGTATTTGGTATTCAGATTTCATTTAAAGAAGAGGTTTTGATGGCAACAAATGTGCAAACTTGTCTACACACTCCACACTCATTACACACACATCAACTGTCAACTGATGACATTCATTTGATTGTGTGCTGTCTTATATTTTTCTCATATTCCTGAAGCTTCATGTTAAGATAGTTTCCAGGCACGTCACTAAGTCCCTAGCTCTGCTGCTCTGAGACCATCTTAATAGTAAGGAATACTGTTTGAACTGTATTAAAAAGTACATACTGTAACCTTGAACTTCTGGTCTCAAGTAGTCCTCCCTCCTCAGCCTCCCAAGTAGCTGGGATGACAGGAATGTGTCACTACGCCTGGATAATTAAAAACAAAACAAAACAAAAAATACGAAACTTTTTTTGTGTGTGGAGACAGGGTCTTGGTTTGTTGCTCAGGCTGCTCTTGAACTACTGGCATCAAGTGATCCTCCCACCTGGGCCTCCCAGTGTTGGAATTACAGGCACCAGCCACTGTGCCCAGCCTAGAAGTATTTTATAGGATGAAGAAAAGAGAGGTAAGATGACTATGCATCTGAGAGAGAGATGTTCTTAATATAGGAACTAGTAAGTCACTACTTCACTTTTGCCATTAGAAAGCAGATATAGCTATTGTGATATAATGCCTGTTTGCTGGCACCTTTCAGAAAGTGCACTAAGCGACAGAGGAGGAAAGCAGTCCCTTGGCTTCCATCTGTTGGATGCATGTGGTGTGTGCTGCACACGTGGCAGAGTCATGGGCATCCTGCTAGCTGTTGAGCTTTGGGATCCATTCTGATTGCTTCTCCCAAATAAGGCAGGATGCATCCCATTTACATGGGTGCAAACATTCCATTGTCTTCCTTTATCACTCAATACTTTATTCCCACTGATGACATCAATCATGTTACTGTGTTTAGTTGTGTGTACTTCTGTTAGAGTTCCTTCAGGGCCAGGCCTGCGCATTATTTATCTTTGCATCCCAAGTACCTGGCATATGCATAGCACACAATAAAATAAAAATTAGATGGGAACTAGAGTATATATGAGGTTAGATCTCACAAGTCCCCTGCTCTACCAGTTACTGTATGTTGAGTTATTCAGTCAACAAGTATTTGAGAGCTTTCTATGTGTGAGGTAGTACACTATGCACTGCTCATATAACTTTCAAATGGGCTGTAATTCAGCATGAATGGGCTGTATTCAGCAAAGAGCCAAAGCTGGTATGATTGAGCAGGAACCACCAGCCTCATAGTGGAAAGGGCTTCTTAGAGAACATGTGCTTTCCTCTCTTCTAAAAAGTAACCTGTAGGGCCCAAAACTTTATTTCCCTCCTTTCACTCTAGGGCTAGGAAGAAAAAGGTAGAAGGCCCATGACATACTCAGGTCCCACCCTTATCACACTCAACAGAATATCATACTGAGAACCAAAGAATAAACTTTAATTTGAATATAATACAGTAGAATAATTATTTTGAGGTATAAAAATAATTATAAAAGATATTTTTTCCCATTTACAAGTCATGTATGCTACATATTATAAATAGTGCACTGATGCTATAAACTGTACATATTTCATCACATGTCTAAGTCTGGGTCTTCCTCTTTCCTCTATCATCACATGTAAGAAAACCAGCTGTGCAATACTACTTTGCAATCTTGAAACTCTGTTAAGACATTTCAGAAGTAGCTATCTTTAATAAGAAAATTACATGGTACCTCTCTTTAGTGTTTATGTTTTTTGGCTCAATCCTATAGAAGAAAAGTTTACAAAAATTAGTCTAAAATTCTGCCATTTTTGGAATATCTGTTTTTTTCCCCAAAAGACAGGAAAATGTCAGGGAGAATCTAGAGTGCTGAATTCAACAAAAGCTCATTTAAAAGTAAATCTCCATCAATGGAAAAGCTTTTCAATTATAGGCAATTTGAAAATAATAGCAATTCACTGGAAGACAAATTTCACTGCCAAAACCTGCTGACGAGTTCTACCTGTCTTTTCCATTACTGTGTTTCCTAATATTTTAAGTGAGCTAAGAATTACAAAAATGATTCTAAAAATTACAGCAGGTTCTACCCTGATGAGACCTATCTAGTTCCTAAGGTGCCGAGAACCATTTATTATTTAAAAAGAAGGAACAACATGAGGGAGCAAAAGCTTTGGCATATGAAAAAAGATGCAGCTTTGTCTCCTAGAATTCAGTTACTTAGGCCAGTTTATTTTTATTTGTGCTCTGAACTGATTATAATGATACATGGGTCTCAGATAAAAGACAGGAAAACTGGCCATCTTCCTGAGTAGAGGTGATATAACCTCTTGCGACAGTCCTGAAGGCGGAGGCAATGGCGATCTTCAGTCATTGACCTCTTCTTGGCTGCTTTCACTCCTGCCATGTTCTCATCTCCTTTCTATACAACTCCTTTGTCCATAAGTGGGGTGTTGGGATAAGTGGAACAACTAATACAGTGCCTACAGGGGTTTTCCTGACTTCAGTGTTCGAGGTATTCTTTCTTTCAGTTCTCCTCCTATCTATTGTCTTCTAGGTAGGGATGGTTCTGCACTTTCTAGATCTGTAACACTAGGTACCTTAAACTAATAGAAAAAAACTATATAGTGTAAAAACAAAGGTAGTACAAAACATAGAAAAATGTGGGTCTGTTTTCTGGAAACAGGTTGTGAGCTTAAGAATGCTCAGTTGTATAGTAGGTTTATGTTATATGAGCTCAGAAACATGGCGCTGGGGGCCGGGCACGGTGGCTCACACCTGTAATCCCAGCACTTTGGGAGGCTGAGGCAGGCGGATTGCCTGAGCTCAGGAGTTCAAGACCAGCCTGGGCAACACGGTGAAACTCCATCTCTACTGAAATACAAAAAAATTAGCCAGGCATGGCGGTGTGTACCTGTAGTCCCAGCTACTCGGGAGGCTGAGGCAGGAGAATTGCCAGAACCCGGGAGGCGGAGGCTGCAGTGAGCCGAGATTTCGAAACTGCACTCCAGCCTGGGTGACAGAGCGAGACTCCATCTCAAAAAAAAAAAAGAAACATGGGTGTGGAATATGACTTATGACAGACAGCCTAGCCATTAGGAGGTCCCTCAAAGGACTTTACAGAATTCATGTTTTATTATCATTACATTAATTAATAAGTGCCCACAATGCATATAAATAATCACTGTAGCCTTACTTTCAAAACTGATGTTTGTTCAGCAAGATACATTAAGAAAAACCTAACCTGCTTTGTTACCTAAAATATGATGATACGAAGCTATAATGGACTAGTGAAATTCATAAACATTGTTTCTTGAATAACTTTAGAGGTGCTGCAATTTTTTTCATAGTACTCACCTTTTAAAAAATTGCAATACTCATCTTACTGCACTGTAACATGCTCTTATCATCAACAATTTAATTACTGAAACAGTCATCCTATAAATCTATCCCATTAGTGACTAGGCAGTTTGATAAAGGAGCTTACTGCCATTCTTGGAATCACATGGCTAGTTATTCTCCCCAGATTTAGAGATGCATTTATAAAACCCTTTAAGAAATTCCCCAATAAAATGGGATAATGTACAGAGATGCCTGGAAGCTAAATGACAGAATGATGCTGATTCTTGCACATCAAAGACATTTGTTATTGCAGTCAGGAGACAATGCCATAAAATGCTAACAAAAAAAAAAGTTATACTGTTTTCCTTAAAGTCAGTAAATTACATAAAAGTACCCTGAGCATTTCTGGAAGAAAGGCACCAGACAAGCCCAAAGTCTTACTGCTAGAAGGATCATACAGGGTCACAGACTATGGTACTCTGCTCAGCCAGGAGACTATGTCTCAGCAAGTCAGTCACTGACCTTGAGGCTTAAAAAGCAAGGAGGGAAAATGTCAATAAAACAGAGCCCTGTATCACAGATTAAACGAGTAAAAATAATTTCCAGCTTTATGTCAAAGTGGAAGCTGGTTCCTAGGATGCTGGGGCTATCTTAGATGGGTACTCTGTTTTCTTTGGCCCATTTCTTCATGATCCGGATGATGTACTCTACTTGGGTGTTACCTGTGCTTCTCAGTAAATGGACCACTTCTCGAAGGGTCTCTCTGCGGAAAAGATTTGAAAAGACAAAATGTGTCAACGAAGAATGAAAATTTAAAAATAAAATAAACTCTGAACTGTCCTTCATACCGTATGTCTTGTAGGGCATTTTTGGTAATAGACTCTTCCACTGTGTATTCATAAAGCAATTACAAACTTCCTAGTCTCACGTCCTGATGGTGGCATAGAAAATGAAGATTATGTGAAATCTCTCTTACCAACCCAAGCGTTCCTTGCTTATCCATACCACTTATATACATTCTGATAATCTTTCTGTCCTCTCTGAGATGACCTAAATATTCCCATTTCTGCTGTCACTCTGCATGACTAGAAAGGGTATATCCAGGAGTTGAGTTCAAGTTCTAGCTCTAAGACTAACAAGTCACTTAGTTTGTCTAACTCATAGATTTCTACCTGGTTTAAGGTGGTAATCATGTTCAACTAAGCATCACTGTCAAATTCATAAAATTTGACATAGCCAGAGGAATGAGTGATTTGTTTCAAGAAAAATAATACATGAATAAATATGGAAGAGAGGAACATTAAAGACTAAGCCTAGCATTTATGTTTGATTTAAATTTAATTAAAATTAAAACATATTTTAAGTAATGCATACTAAAACCTCCCTATTGCCCTAGCAAATCTATAGGCGACAGACTACGAATCCATTTGCTTAAGAGTCTTCTCATATTTTTTACTTCTTTCTCCTCACAAACAACCTCTTTCACAAAGTTTAAAACCAATTGCTTTTAAACTTTTATTTAGAAGTCCTATAAGGTAGGAAGTAATTTTGATATTTTCTTTCAAAATGATCATATTTCCTATTCATATATCAGTAGTGAATACATTCCATGAAATTATTTTTAGAAAATGGAATTGAGTTGTGTTTTAATGTTAGTTTCAAATGAAACTATAGGCCAGGCGTGGTGGCTCACGCCTGTAATCTCAGAACTTTGGGAGGCCAAGGTGGGAGGATCACCTGAGATCAGGAGTTTGAGACCAGCCTGGCCAATATGGTGAAAACCCACCCCTACTAACAATACAAAAATTATCCATGTGTGGTGGCATGCGCCTGTAATCCCAGCAACTTGGGAAACTGAGGCAGGAGAGTCACTTGAACCCAGGAGGCAGAGGCTGTAGTGAGCTAAGATCGCACCATTGCACTCCAGCCTGGGAAACAGAGCAAGACTCCACCTTAAAAAAAAAAAAAAGGAAAAAGAAAGAAAAAGAAAGTATAGGCCACTTGATTTTATGTAAACTAATGTCTCAGTATTTCCTTGAATACGAGCAGGTGAACAAAACCAAAAGAGTTATCAACCACATCTACTCCATTCCTAATTCTTTGAGACTTGAACTAATGAACACAAGAAAAAGCCAACAGGCAAAAAACAAAAACAAACAAAAACCCAAAAGAGTAGATGAGTAAAAAACAAAACTTTGTTTATAAAAATGGCTATTCATGGCCGGGCGCGGTGGCTCAAGCCTGTAATCCCAGCACTTTGGGAGGCCGAGGCGGGTGGATCACGAGGTCAAGAGATCGAGACCATCCTGGTCAACATGGGGAAACCCCGTCTCTACTAAAAATAAAAAAAATCAGCTGGGCATGGTGGCGCGTGCCTGTAATCCAGCTACTCAGGAGGCTGAGGCAGGAGAATTGCCTGAACCCAGGAGGCGGAGGTTGCTGTGAGCCGAGATCGCGCCATTGCACTCCAGCCTGGGTAACAAGAGCGAAACTCCGTCTCAAAAAAAAAAAAAAAAAATGGCTATTCATTTGGAACCAAATATCCATCTTGCTCTTATATTTGGAGGCCGTTAGTGTACTCAATGCATATATAACTTAGATTTCTCTGATTCTCTTACATGTGATTTAGAATCATCTGATTCTACAAAATGTTTCTGGAGGAAAATGGTCAGATAGAAATATTTAACATCAACGTTTTTTTCATCATTCTAAAACATCATTATAATTGTGTGTTTTCAGAAGGTGTCATCCAAGAGAACAATTACTTTCTCTCAAAAACAAGCACATGAGTAGAGGCAGTATTTCTTGCCTGTTTACTTACTTAGGTTCTCTCCCAGCTAAGATCATCTGGAAAATGCCCACACAGGCACCTCTTTTGCCTTCCCAATATTGAGGGTTGGGATCCAGCCTCTCGAGGACATCAAAAGCTTTGGCAGAATAGTAAAACTGGCCCATCTGAATAAGAGAAAGTATGTGGTAATACTTGTAGTTTAAAAAGATTGCACAGAAAGACCCTGAACTTAAAGGTAACATGAAACGGAACTGTATGAAATAAGGGTATGGGTCAATGACAACATTTTCAGTTAGCAAGTTTCAATTCCTAATTAAAACAATAAGAAGGAAGATCACAGTTTGGGTACATAGGTTCAGTTTAAACCACCTATGTTCACTCAGTTTTCAATAGTGTAACATTTTTTCCACATATAGTCAAGTTATGCTACAATCAGCATTTTTGCCATTTCTTCTAATTGTATTCTAATCTTGAGGAGAAACTCTGATTATTGTGATTTGAGCTGAGCATTTTTCAAGTCTCTTCAGTGTATTCTTTTCACATGACTACTATCATTCATTTTATGCTAAATTGATCATATTCCACTCGAGGATGGATGGTCTTTCCCTAATCTTGTTCCTAAATTCTCAGAATGCCTAGATGTATACTGAATACTATTCTAAACACTAAATCTTTTTTTTTTTTTGAGACGGAGTTTCACTCTTGTTACCCAGGCTGGAGTGCAATGGCGCGATCTCGGCTCACCACAACCTCCGCCTCCCGGATTCAGGCAATTCTCCTGCCCCAGCCTCCTGAGTCACTGGGATTACAGGCACGCGCCACCATGCCCAGCTAATTTTTTGTATTTTAGTAGAGACGGGGTTTCACCATGTTGACCAGGATGGTCTCGATCTCTTGACCTCGTGATCCACCCGCCTCGGCCTCCCAAAGTGCTGGGATTACAGGCTTGAGCCACCGCGCCCGGCCAACACTAAATCTTTTAAATATTTAATGCATTTTGACAGACATTTTTCCCCAAACGTACTACACATTTCCTTGATCTCACAGAACATGCTGAATGCCATTAAATTTTGCTCAGTTTTCTTTTTTTTTTTTTAAGTTTTCTTTTTTTAAAAAAATTTTTTTTATTCATGATTTTTTTTTTTAGAGATAGGATCTTGCTGTATTGCCCAGGCTGGAGTGCAGTGGTGCCATCATGGTTCACTGCAACCTCAAATTCCTGGGCTCAAGAGATCCTCCTGCCTCAGCATTCCAAGCAGCTGGGACTACAGGTGCACACCACCATGCCTGGCTAATTTTTAACTTTTTGTAAGACAGGCTCTCAGAAGTTTGCCCAGGTGGGTCTCAAACTCCTGGCCTCAAGTGATCCTCCCACTTTGGTCTCCCAAAGTGTTGAGATTACAGGCTTCAGCCACCATGCCTGGCCAGATGAGTTTTCTTATTTGGTAATCATAAATGCATACTGTTACCAATTTCGCTTAAGGCTTCAAATTGCTGAGCAGCTCTATGGTTTAGCTACTTCTCTATTCCTGACAGATGTTTTTCTAAATCTTTGAAAATTTCCTTAAGACAGCCTTCTTAGCTTAGCTTTATTCTGTACTTCACAGGGAAAACACAACTTTTCTTTCTTCAGTTCAAATTATATTTACACCTTCATTAATCCTTTTTTCTTTTCTGTTTAATGCGAAGAAGTTTTTAAAAATTATTTTCAAGGTTTATACTTCTGTTTATGTACTCTTTGAAAAAAAGTCTTTATTGTGAAATAACACACATATAGAATGGTATATGAAACATCCATGTACAGCTACTAATTATAATGTGAAAATACTACCCAATTCAAGACACTGAGAGCAACACAAAAGCCATATGGTCTTCCAGACCATAACTCCCTCTTTCCATAGCCAGAGGTAACTACTATTCTGACTTTTATGCTCATCAGTTCTTTGACTTTCTTTATGTTATCTCTTATATATATACATCTTTAAACAATATAATTGAGTTCTGCTTCTCAGAACTGTATATGAATGAATATTGTAAATATTCTGTCTTGTACCTATGATTCAACATTATAAGATCCATCTATATTGCTGTATATATATCTAGTTGATTCATTAAAAAATTTTTTTTTATTTTGCCAGGTGCAGTGGCTCACGCCTGTAATCCCAGCACTTTGGGAGGCTGAGGTGGGCAGATCACCTGAGGTTGGAAGTTTGAGATCAGCGTGACCAATATGGAGAAACTCTGTCTGTACTAAAAATACAAAATTAGCTAGGCGTGGTGGCACGCGCCTGTAATCCCAGCTACTTGGGAGGCTGAGGCAGGAGAATCACTTGAACCTGGGAGGCAGAGGTTGTGGTGAGCCAAGATCGCACCATTGCACTCCAGACTGGGCAACAAGAGCAAACTCCATCTCAAAGAAAAAAAAATTTATTTTCAAGTATTAGTAATTATAGATCCATGGACAAAGATATGTCAGAGGTCACATGTACCTTTCACCTAGTTTCCTCCAAAGGTTATAATTCACATTAACGATAGTAAAATATCACAATATAAAAATAAGGAAATTGACACTGGTATGTGTATGCTGACGATAGTCTTGTTATTTCATCATATGTGTAGATTCATGTAACCACAACCACACAACTATCAAGATACCAAGTTACTCTTTTTGTTTGGACACAAAGTCTTGCTTTGTCATCCAGGATGGAGTGCAGTAAGGCAATCACAGCTTACTGCAACCTTGAACTTCAGGGCTCAAGTGATTCTCCTGCCTCAGTCTCTCCAGTAGCTAGGACACAGGTGTGTGCCACCATGTCCAGCTACTTTTTAAAAAATGTTTTGTAGAGACGGTGTCTCACTATGTTGCCCAGGCTGGCCTTGAACTCCTGGCCTCAAGCAATCCTCCTGTCTTGGCCTCCCAAAGTGCTGGAACTGCAGGCATAGGACATTGTGCCTGGCCAAGATGCAGAACTATTATATCACCACCAATATTTCCCTTGTTACCCTTTTACAGTCACACACGCAGCCCTCCCTGCTCACCATCCCTAACCTCTAACCACCTCTAATTTGTTCTCTATCTCAATCATTTTGTCATTTCAAGAATGTTATATATATGAAAGCAAACAGTAGGGGGACCCTTTGAAACTGGCTTTTTTCCTTCAGTATAATGTCCTTGTTACTCCCTGTTGATTCAAGTTACTTTGTGTACCGACAGCTTGCTCCTGTTATGGTCACGCTGAAACTGCAAGAGGGACTCCCAACCAAAGTTTGGTTTGGATATTGAAACTGATGACACCACACACACACACAGCAAGAGGATATGAAACATTTTCTTACAGAATTGAACTCTTGGGAGAGTAGAGTGGCCCTATTATGCAGGTCTGAAAAGGCCTGAGAGAGCAAGGAAAGAGACTGGCCTTGGTGTTTACTGTGGTTAGGAGGTGGGGCTGTGTTGAAGGTTCCTGTGCCTGGCCAGGGGCTTGTATGGCTTGAATCACTCTACGGGGCCAAAGAAGGGAGCATGTAGGTTTTCTTATCATTTTGTCCAGATGTGGGGCACAAGGGGAAGAGAATGGGGTGAGGCTTAAAAGCAGTCAGCAGTCAAACATCAAGAAATGGAGTCAGACTTCTCATTATAGTTCCTTTTCATTACTGAGTAGCATTCCATGCCAAATCAGTCAGTTTAACCATGTACCTACTGCAAGATTTTGATGTTTCCAGTTTTAGGCTATTATAAATAAAGCTCCTATTAACATTTATATATTAAAATTTGTGTTACTAACATTTATATATTTTTGTGGATATAGGTTTTCATTTATCTGGGATAAATGCATAGGAATGCAATTGCTGGGTCATATGGTAAGTATGTTTATTAAAGAAATTGCCAAACTACTTCACGGTGGGTTTTTTTTTTTTGATCCTTTTATTTTTGACCTTTGTATATAAATATTTTTAAAGTGAATTTACTGCTGAGAACACATAATTGGGTTTTTTTTTTTAAATCTACTCTGTCAATAGGTGTCTTGTAACTGGCATACTTAGACCATTTACATTTAATTATTGACATATTAGGGCTTAATTCTGCCATTTCCCCCCTTATTCTCTCTGCTTTTCTTTGACAAGGATATCACATATATGTTGGACAAAGACAGGGCCATGTGATCTCCACAGAGGGAAAATAAGAAAATCTGTATTTGACTTCTCTAGCCTTCACCTACACCTATCTTGTTCCTGCTGTTCCTGTAGTGTGATAAATTTTAGCCATGAGTATAACTTTACGTTAAGTCATATGAGTCCCTCTGGTAAATCACCAAACTTGTGGGTGGTCATGGGACCACTGAGACACCAGGTAAGTCTTTGTTAACCCTATTCCCCTTCCATCTTCTCTAGGGCCTGACTCCATCAAAAATGCCCCATTCTCCTGAATCTTTAATCTTCCTGTTCAATGGCTCATTTTCTTCTGCTGACAGGCATACTCCCCTATTCCCATTCTAAAAGAGGAGCTCTACACCCCATCCCCAATCCCAAACTCTGTTTTTCCATTTAAGTTAGCACTGTATTTTTTCTCCTTATCTTCAATATCAAATTTTTTAATACTGTGGTCTACATTACACTCACTGCATCTGCTTTTTAATCTGACTCTATTCTCTACCTGCTACTGTCAGTCCTCATGCATTTCAATCGGATGCAGATTTGACACTGTCTTGGCTTTTGACTAAATAGGAGCAAGAAAAAGTAATGAAAAGCATTTTTTTTCCTCTGTCCTCATTGTTTTCTTTCTCTTCTGTTCATCCTCTCCTTCATTTACTCTTCTCTTTCTAGCCCTTAAACAGTGGTGTTCTGCAAGGTTCCTCACCCCGTTTACTGGTTCATCCTATTCTCTCTCACACTTTGCTGTTGCTGCTGCTATTACTACCGCTGCTACTACTATTGTTACTACCACCACTAACTACTGTTAACTTCTAAATCTACGTTGTTAACTCCTGCGAACTGCTAAATCTGCATTGCTAATTGCAATGAATGCCAAAGCTCCAAGCACAGCCGGTTCATTTCCTGTTTGTATCATCTCTGCTGGGAACCTCAAAGACACTTCAGATTTAATATATCTCAAACTGAAATAATTTCCTGTCTTCTAATGTTTTCCTTCCCTCTGCCTCCCCTAACTTAACTAACAGCATTGGCATCCGCCAAGTCATGTTAAACCATTATTTTCAAGTCTCCTATGTCTTAAAATCTTTTCCACTGGTGGTGATTCACTTCCTTTTTTGGTAATGATTCGCTTTGAAATTAGCTTTTGTTAATTAATTTAACACAAGACTCTCTTTACCTGACATTTACCTGTATTTTTGACATTTTTGGATGAGATATTCCAAAAATAGGAATTTCTAGAATTTGAGGTGAATTTTTTTAAAAAAATTTTAATCTATAGGTTAGGTCCCAAAACTACTAACTTGTCCCAGCCTTTCCAACTCCCCAGTGCCTCCACACACACGCACCAACATGCACCAAAAACAGCCATTCCTTTACTAAATCTGACTCATTTTTTATTCTCTTTTTCTGGTTCCTTTGTCTTTCCTGTCTGCCATTTGCACCTCAAAGTTTGGTTTGCAACTCTTCTCCCTTTACTTTTTACTTGTGTAATCTCACTGTTTTTCAGGGCTTCAGTGAATCCAGTCATGCACTTCATAACAGTATTTTGATCAGTGATGGGCAGCATATATGACAGTGGCTCCATAAGATTATAATACTGTATTTTTATTGTACCTTTTCTATGTTTAGATATGTTTCAATATGCAAATATTTGCCATTGTGTTAAAACTGCCTACATTATTCAGTACAGGAACATGCTGTACAGGTTTGCAGCTTAGCAGCAATAGGCTATATACTACATCATACGGCCTAAATGTGTAGTAGGCTATACCATCTAAGTTTGTGTAAGTGCACTCTGATGTTTGTACAATGACGAAATCACCCAATGACACATTTCTCAGACCTTATCCCCATTATTAAGCAACACAGGGCTGTACTTAAATGTTGATGACTCCCAATCTATGTCTCTAGATATCAGAAGACATGTTTCTTGAACTTCAGAACCAAATTTCCAACTACCAGATGAGTATCTGTACATCAATGCTACCTAAAGATTCATAGTCTTTAGAAATCTAAAACTTCCTCTCTAAATAATTATTTCATGTACACATAAATCTCTGAAATACTGCCTATCTCTAAGTTCAGTTTATTCGTAAAAAGAATGGCATCAGGCCAGGTGCGGTGGCTCATGCCTGTAATTCCAGCACTTTGGGAGGCCAAGGCAGGCAGACCACGAGGTCAGGAGTTTGACACCAGCCTGGCCAACATTGTGAAACCCCATCTCTACTAAAAATACAAAAATTAGCTGGGCATGGTGACAGGTGCCTGTAATCCCAGCTACTCAGGAGAATTCCTTGAACCAGGGAGGCGGAGGTTGCAGTGAGCTAAGATTGCACCACTGCACTTCAGCCTGGGTGACAGAGCAAGACTCTGTCTCAAAAAAAAAAAAAAAAAAAAAAAAAAAAGAATGGAATCTCTTATAACAAACACTATGCAAATCCTCTCACTACTAATCATTTAGTCTGTAGGACATTTCCCCTAATATGAGCCAATGCAGCAATGTGACACTGACCTTCAGTGTTCCCTTTAGTCTCAGTCAAACTCACCTTGTAGCAGTCATTAGCAATGAGCTGTAAGAGACTGAAGGACTCGCCAGAGGTTTCCATCTTGAGATAAAGTTCCCAGGCTAGTCTTGGTTTCTTATTCATAATATCTGCAAAAGGAAACAAATATTTGTAAACGAATGAGTCATTTTTACATGTACAAAAAATAATTTCTGCACCTTATTATTCTATGGATTTGGTTCTATATTCCAACTAAAGTAATGATAGAATACCTCTTTCATGGAAAGCTTACAATGTTGGCATTATGCTGGCTCCCTGCCAGAATTCTACCATACTTAATATATTTAAGTTAGCAGTCACATAATTATGTCTTTCAGACTGGATTGACTTCTGGTAGTTCCTACTTTGCTCATCTGCTTAAAAGAGGATACCTATCATTCACTCAATCTGACTCACTTAGAAGTTTCAGCCTCACTTAGAAGATATGATTGTGAAATTTTCCTCTGACTACAAAAACTCAGTGAACATTTTATTTAATTTTATTTTTACACTGAGACAGAGTTTTGCTCTGTCACCCAGTGTGGAGTGCAGTGGTGCGATCTTGGCTCACTGCAACCTTTGCCTCCTGGGTTAAGTGATTCTCATACCTCAATCTCCCAAGTAGCTGGGATTACAGGTGTGTGCCACCATGCCCAGTTAATTTTAGTATTTTTAGTAGAGATGAGGTTTCACTATGTTGGCCAGGCTGGTCTTGAACTCCTGGCCTCAAATGATCCTCTGCCTTATGCTCCCAAAGTGCTGGGATTACAGGTGTGAGCAACTGTGCTTGGCCAACATTTTAAATCTGAGTTTTAAAAGGGAGGAAGAAAGGATAGTGAGCCAGAAAGAGATAGAAAGTAAAGTTCTATAATACACCAAAAAATTACATTTTTGACATTTTGCCACTTTTCAGGCTTGAACCATAGTGAAAAGTTAAAATTAGTGTAACAACATCATTTCACAAACAACACAATAAACTGACACTCTGGAAACTTGAACGAGACTTTAGGAAGAACCTGACATTTTTCTGGCTGTAAGTACTAGATCAATACTATGTAGTAGAAGTAATCACAGGGTAAACTTGCATGACACATTTGCATGGCAACTCTTACTGAGTAGAATTAACGATCCTTAATTTCAGTGTTTACTCATTCTACAGAACAAAATGCAAAATAAAATTAGAAAATATTCAATGTCATTTCCAAACAAATTATACAACCAAAAAGAAAAAGAAGATTCCTTTTGTAACATTTAAAAGAAGACTCACAGCACCGAGCTAACCAGCTGAGGTAAATGTAATCATTTTTCATCTTCTCACTTTGGATCAAGAGGAACACCTGCAAGAAGAGAAAAGAAAGGGAATACACATGAGGATGGTTTTGCAGTGAAAATACCCACTATTGGCTTGCCTTAGATTGATGATCACTGTAGCCCTGTAGATGACCAAATTCTATACAGCTACTAAGAAAAGTAAAGGACAAAGTTGTAGTGATTTAAAAATATTACACCAGAAATTGATATTACAAGTTGATAAAAAGTTGGTAAGGATATAGAAGATTTAAACAAAATAATTAACAACTATATGATACATATTCTTTCTAAGCACACATGACATGCTACACACCAGTCAGTAAGGCATGCCTCAACAAAGGGTAAACGACTAGTATCAAACAGCCCATATTCTTTTATTTGTTTGTTTTCTAGACAGGGTCTCGCACTGTCAACCAGGCTGCAGTGCAGTGGGACGATCATGGCTAACTACAGTCTTGACCTCCTGGTGTCAAGTGATCCTCCCTCCTACCTTGGCCTCCCAAATAGCTGGGACTACAGGCACATGCCACCATACTCAGCTATTTAAAAATTTTTTTTGTAGAGATGGTGTCTCACTATATTGCCTAGGCTGGTCTCAAACTCCTGGGCTCAAGTGATCCTCCCACTTTTCAGCATTCCAAAAGGTTGGGATTATAGGTGTCAGCCAGCTCACCTAGTCCAGACCACATTCTATGACCACAAAAATACAATTAAGTTAGAAACCAAATAAGTAAATAAACCTATTGATAGTCACCAAGCTGTATACTTAGTATTTGTATACTTTTCTGTACATATGTTATATTTCTTTTTTTCTTCTTTTTTTTTTTTTGAGACGGAGTTTCGCTCTAGTTACCCATGACGGAGTGCAATGGCGCGATCTCGGCTCACCGCAACCTCCGCCTCCTGGGTTCAGGCAATTCTCCTGCCTCAGCCTCCTGAGTAGCTGGGATTACAGGCACACGCCACCATGCCCAGCTAATTTTTTGTAGTTTTTTAGTAGAGACGGGGTTTCACGATGTTGACCAGGATGGTCTCGATCTCTTGACCTCGTGATCCACCCACCTCGGCCTCCCAAAGTGCTGGGATTACAAGCGTGAGCCACCGCGCCCGGCCCATATGTTATATTTCTATAAAGTTTACTTAGGATTTGTATACTTTTCTGTACATATGTTGTATTTCTATAAAGTTTACTAAAAAGGGAAAATTTTAATATGGTTATAAAATCTATGTCTGTTCACATTGTACTTTTTTTTTTAAGAGATGGGGTCTCACGATGTTGCTCAGGCTAGAGTGCAGTAGACGGGGTCCCACTATGTTGCCCAGGCTGGAGTGCAGTGGCTATTCACAGGCATGATCATAGTGCACTGCAGCTTAAAATTTACAGGCTCAAGCCACTGTCCTGCCTCAGCCTTCCAAGTAGCTGGGACTACAGGTGTGTGCCACTGCACCTTCTCCACAGTGTACTTTTTAATGCAACCTAAGAACAGAGGAATCTTCAATAATCCTTAACGCTTGACCCTTATCCATTTTATTCTAGTGAGAAAAAGACAAGGATGTTTTTAGATAGGATCATTCAAATGCTTTCAAAAGCAGGTACCCACCTCTTCAGCCTCACTGGTATTGCCTGTTGCAGCTTTGGCTTGGGCATAATTAAAGTTAAAGATGTCATCATTATAGAAGTAACTCTGAAAAACATCCCAAGAACAGGTCACATTGAGAATTAACATATAAAATATAAAACCACCAGTTATACCAATTAACACAAAATTAACCTTATGGACTAGTCTATGCCACTAATGCCACCAAAGAAAATGGGTCATCTCTCAGGGTACCTTACCTTCTCTGACACAGTCTACAGTATTTTGTATATAGTCTTATATAATTCTATACTGACCTTAAATGAGTTGAGGTAAATCAAGACATCATCAAATTGCTTAAGCAGGAAGAAACAGGAAGCCATGCACTGCCTTCCTGGTATTGTATCTGAAATGGAGGGAAAAAAAACCCACACACATTCATGAAACTAAAATCCTCTTTAGCTGAAATTTTAGTTATTTAATAATTTAGAGACAGGAAAATATTCTTAGACATCTTTCTAGATTCTGAAATTTTAGATTTTGTTTAGTGGACAAAATGGAGGTCATTGGGAGTGACCAATAATCTCTCTGGGGATTAACTCCCAGAGTCCAAAATGAACACATGCCCTTCAGGTTCTCTAGCTATGGCATTACCCAGATCATTTCCAGGGCTTTGATTCTCTCATGCAACATCTGCACATTCAGTTAGTATGGCCTGGTCTCCATCATCACTTTTCTAAATCAACCTAGCATTTCCAATCTCAAATGGAAAAATAATTTGCCATGGAACCATCTGGTTCTGATCCTGATCCAACTTTTTGCCCGATATCAGATTTCTATTTGAGTAGTGGAGGATTAGTATAACGCCCACCCTTGCCGCAGCCATTCCTAAGGCTCCTTATCCTGTTAAATTTTTTTCCTTTAGCACTTATCACAGTCTGATATGCCATGTATAAGATATACATATAAAATATAAAACCATCAGTTATACCAGATAAACACAAAACTAATCTTAAGGATTAGTTCGTAAGGTCTGACCATGCCGTGGACCCTACCACATGGCGACCCCCGTGAATGGCACCTACACCTCTGGAGGGCCTGCCGGAATTAGAAAATCTGAAGTAGCTGGAAGATCATGAAAAGAGGAAGAAATGATCAACTCCTGTGGCGCCTACTTAACTTTGAGACCTTCTCTATTGTTTCTTATTCGGGCTTCAACTGACAAGGCCATTGGACTTTGTAACTGACCTTAGCTTGGCCAACTTAGTGACTCCACACCCTACAACCCCCTCCCAGCTTGCAAATCTATGATCCCCTCCCAGCTTGCAAAAAACCGCCTAAACTGTAACTTTTGTAACTTTCCACTGCTTTCTCCACAACCTATAAAACCAACTCCTATCCCACCACCCTTTGCTGACTCCATTTTCGGGCTTACCCCGCCCACAGCTGGGTGAATAAACAACCATGTTGCTCACACAAAGCCTGTTTGGGGGAGTCTCTTCATTCAGAGCAAAAGTTTTAACATAGTTGATGCCACTAATGCTACCACAGAAAATGGTGGCATTTTCTGGTATATCTGATAAGATACATATCTATCGTATATATCTGATATACATAGTATATCAGACTGTGATAAGTGCTAAAGGAAAAAAGTAAACAGGATAAGGAGGCTTAGGAATGCCTGTGGCAAAGGTGTTAGTTATACGAATCCTCCACTACTCAAATAGGAATCTGATATCAGGCAAAAAGTTGGATCAGGATCAGAATGTACATACTAGATATACGTATCACATACATACATAGTATAAATATATATGTGTGGACACACAAACACTATATGTACATAGTATATATATATATATATATTTTTTTTTTTTGAGACAGAGTCTTGCTCTGTCGCCCAGGCTAGGGTACAGTGGGGTGATCTCGGCTCACTGCAACCCCTGCCTCCCAGGTTCAATCTAGTCTCTTGGCTCAGCCTCCCAAGTAGCTGGGATTACAGGCACGCACCACCACACCCAGCTAATTTTTGTATTTTTTTTTTTTTTTTGAGACGGAGTTTCGCTCTTGTTACCCAGGCTGGAATGCAATGGCGTGATCTCGGCTCACCGCAACCTCCACCTCCTGGGTTCAGGCAATTCTCCTGCCTCAGCCTCCTGAGCAGCTGGGATTACAGGCATGCACCACCATGTCCAGCTAATTTTTTGTAGCTTTAGTAGAGACGGGGTTCCACCATGTTGACCAGGATGGTCTCGATCTCTTGACCTCGTGATCCACCCGCCTCAGCCTCCCAAAGTGCTGGGATTACAGGCGTGAGCCACCGCGCCCGGCCAATTTTTGTATTTTTAATAGAGATGGAGTTTCACCATGTTGGCCAGGCTGGTCTCGATCTCTTGAGCTCGTGATCTGCCTGCCTTAGCCTCCCAAAGTGCCGGGATTACAGGCGTGAACAACTGTGCCCGGCCTCTATATATTGTTTCTAGTCTGTCTGGCCCACTAGACTGTAAGTTCCATAACGGTTGGGAATTTTGTTTGTTTACTTCTGTATCTTCAACAGCTCAATGTATTTTTATGGTATGAATCAATGAATGAAATGGGGAAAATATTATTCAATAACTGGTGTTGGTAGAACATTTGTGAACATCCAGGGGTGACAAAAATATGTAATCTTCAGTTCAGCATGAACACTGTCACTCAGAACAGACAGGCATAGACAACTAGCACAGGCAGCACCATGCTGGTTCATGCTGGTTAACTAGCATCTCTTTTGGTAGCCCTTTCTCAAATCTTTCACTGAATCTTGGCGGGTGAAATAAATAATTATAAAAATGAAACTTCAAGACTACTAGTGGGCAATATAGGTGAATATTATATAACTGTGGCAGAAAGAAAGCATTTTCTTTTTCTTTCTTTTTTTTTTTTTGGAGACAGAGTCTCACTCTGTCACCAGGCTGGAGTGCAGTGGTGCAATCTTGGCTCACTGCAACCTCCAACTCCTTGGTTCAAGCGATTCTCCTGCCACAGCCTCACAAGTAGCTGGGATCACAGGCACACGCTACCACCCTCAGCTAACTTTTGTATTTTTAGTAGAGACAGGGTTTCACCGAATGTTGGCCAGGATGGTCTCAATCGCCTGATCTTGTGATCCACCGGCCTTGGCCTCCGAAGGTGCTGGGGTTACAGGTGTGAGCCACCACGCCCAGCTGAAAGAAAGCATTTTCTAAGCTTAATACCCATGCAAGACATTATTATAGAAAAGATAAACTTAATTGCCAGCGCTGTGGCTCACGCCTGTAATCCCGGCACTTTGGGAGATGGAGGTAGGTGAACCATTTGACATCAGGAGTTCAAGACCAGCCTGGCCAACATGGTGAAAACCCCATCTCTACTAAAAATATAAAAATTAGCCAGGTGTGGTGGTGCGCACCTGTAGTTCTAGCTACTCAGGAGGCTGAGGCAGGAGAATCACTTGAACCCAGGAGGCAGAGGTTGCAGTGATCTGAGATCATGTCACTGCACTCCAGCCTGGGCAACAGAGTGAGACTCCATCTTAAAAAAAGAAAAAAAGAAAAAGAAAAGAAAAGATAAATTAAATATGGTTTTAATATTTTTATTACTCTACTTTTTAAATTTTTTGTGGATATGTAGTCCATATATCCATACTGCATATGGATATCCAGTATATATTTATGAGTACATAAGATATTTTGATACAGACATATAATGTATAATTCCGTCAGGGTAAATGGGGTATCCATCACATCAAGCATTTATCCTTTCTTTATGTTACAAACCATCCAATTATACTCTTCTAGTTACTTGAAATGTATAATAAATTATTGTTAAATGCAGTCATTCTGTTGTGTTATCAAAGACTAGATCTTTTTAATTCTAATTTTTTTTGTACCTATTAGCCATCCCCACTGTCCTCCTACTCCACTACCCCTCCTAGGCTCTGCTAACCATCATTCTACTCTCTACCTCCTTGAGTTCAAGTGTTTTAATATTTTTTAGCTCCCACAAATAAGTGAAAACTGTGTCTTTCGGTGCCTGGCTTATTTCACTTAACATAATGTTCTCCACTTCCATCCATGTTGTTTCAAATGACAGGATCTCATCTCATTCATCTCATCTCATTCTTTTTATGACTGAATAGTATTCCACTGTGTATATGTACCACATCTTCTTTATCCCTTCGTCTGTTGATGGATGCTTAGGTTGTTTCCAAATGTTCGCTATTTTGAATTGTGCTGCAATAAACATTAATGTGCAAGTATCTCTTTGATATGCTGATTTCCTTTCTTTTGGGTATATACCTAGCAGTGAGATTGCTGGATCATATGGTCATCCTATATTTGAGGAACATCCAAACTGTTCTCCATAGTGGTTGTGCTAATTTACATTCCCACAAACAGTATACGAGGGTCCCTTTTCTCCACATCCTCTCCAGCATTGGTTGCTGCCTGTCTTTTGCATAAAAGCCATTTTAACTGGGGTGAGATGATATCTCACTGTAGTTTTGATTTGCATTCCTCTGATGATCAATGATGCTGAGCACCTTTCATATACCCATTTGTCATATGTATCTTTTAAAAAATGTCTGGGGGTGGGCGACGGGAGAAAATTAAATAAAAAAAAGAAAAAAAAAAAAGAAATGTCTGTTCAGATCTTTTGCCCATTTTCAAATTGGAGTGTTAGAGTTTTTTCTTACTGAGTTGTTGAGCTCCTTCTGTATTTTCTGATTATGAATCCCTTGTCAGATGGCAAATATTTTCTCCATTCTGTGGGTTGTCCCTTCACTTTGCTGATGGTTTCCTTTGCCGTGCAGAAGCTTTTTTCATTTGATGTCATCCCATTTGTCCATTTTTGCTTTGGTTGCTTGTGTTTGTGGAGGATTACTCAAGAAATCTTTGGGTCAGGCCACTCACACGCGGTGGGGAACGTCACGCATGCTTTGTTGTTAATGTTTGTTAATGGCCCGACACCAACGCAGGCCGCCAGTGGAAAAGGTCTTTTGAATACAGCTTCTGTCTTCATGTTAAATCTCTCCTCGTGTGGCCTGGTGCTGTGTGCGCTCCTGTGGGACACCCTGCCATCAGACCCAGACTGTTAATGTTATTGTTGGGAAAGACAAACAAGGCAGAAAGATTCCAGAATATCTGATCCATTGTAATGGTTGGAACAGACGCTGGGATAAATGGCCTGAAGATCATGTGCTTTGTGTTACCGATGAAAATCATAGATTACAGCATAAATTGGCAAGAAAATCTGTAGCTCACCTGAGGAGCACAGGAAGAAAGAAGAAGTGCTGAAGGTTGCCTGGTGTTGATTGACTCTGTCTTAAAAGGCCTCTCTATTAAAGAAAAAGATGAAAGTGATGAAAATTTATTAAACAGTTCCTCTGACAGCAACAAAGACTAGGATAAAGAAAGAAGTAAAGAAAGTGTTATTGAAGAAAAGCCTGAAGTGAAAGAACCAGAGCTTCAAACAAAAAGAGAAATGGAAGAAAGAATAGTAACTATAGAAATCCCTGAAGTTCTGAGGCAGCAGGAGGATGATTGTTATTACTAACAGGATGAAATGTTAGTTAAACTTTCATGCCAGATCAACACCATAATGATTTTGGAATCCTATGTCAAACATTTTGCTATGAATGCAGCCTTTTCAGCCAATGAGACGCCTAGTCACCATCACGCTATGCCACATGCCAACACGAACGTGCATTATATCCCAGAAGAAAAGAATGTGACCTTTATAAAGATGGTGGATGGATTAAGAATAACATTTGAGGCTGGGCGCGGTGGCTCAAGCCTGTAATCCCAGCACTTTGGGAGGTCGAGGCGGGTGGATCACAAGGTCAAGAGATTGAGACCATCCTGGTCAACATGGTGAAACCCCGTCTCTACTAAAAATACAAAAAATTAGCTGGACATGGTGGCGCATGCCTGTAATCCCAGCTACTCAGGAGGCTGAGGCCGGAGAATTGCCTCAACCCAGGAGGCGGAGGTTGCGGTGAGCCAAGATCGCGCCATTGCACTCCAGCCTGGGTAACATGAGTGAAACTCCGTCTCAAAAAAAAAAAAAAGAATAACATTTGATTACACTCCCCCCCGGCTTTACTCTATCTGTATGAATAAGCTCAGCATAAAAAGGTGACTTTGCTGGGCACGGATGCTCATACCTGTAATCCCAGCACTTTGGGAAGCTGAGGCAAGTGGATCACCTGAGGTTAAGAGTTCGAGACCAGCCTGGTCAACGTGGCCGAAAGCCCATCTCTACTAAAAATACAAAAATTAGCCAGGCATGGTGGCGGGCACCTGTAATCCCAGCTACTTGGGCGGCTGAGGCAGGAGAATCGCTTGATGCTTGAACCCAGGAGGAAGAGGTTTCACTGAGCTGAGATCGCATCACGGCACTCCAGCCTGAGTGACAAGAGCAAGACTCTGTCTCAAAAAAAAAAAAAAAAAAAAAAGTCCAGGTACGGTGGCTCAAGCCTGTAATCTTAGCAATTTGGGAGGCTGAGGTAGGCAGATCACCTGAGGTCAGGAGTTCAAGACCAGCCTAGCCAACATGGTGAAACCCTGCCTCTACTAAAAATACAAAAATTAACTGGGCATGGTGGCCCATACCTGTAATCCCAGCTACTTGGGAGGTTGAGGCAGGAGAAGAGCTTGAACCCAGGAGACAGAGGATGCAGTAAGCTAAAATCACGCCACTGAACTCCAGCCTCAGCAGCAGAGTGAGACTTGGTCTCAAAAAAAAAAAGGTGACCTCATCTAAATTTTTTCTCCCAATTAAGGAAAGTGCCACAAACACTAATAGGAGGCAGAAGGAAGTCTCTCTCAGCCTGCCTCTGTTGAATCCATCCCTGTGACAGTCCACAGAGAGTCGGCCAACCACTGGTGAACTAACAAAGGTGCAAAGCTGAGTTGGAAGCATTGCAGTCTCTGAGGCTGTCCATGTGCCACACCGCCAACTGTGACAGACTTTCTGAGAGCAGCACCTCACCTCAGCCCAAGCGCTGGCAGCAGGACATATCCGCCAGCATGACCAAGCTGCTCCTGCACCTGGAAAAGAAGACACCTGTGCTTGGCAGATCATCTTCACCTATTCCTCTGACTCCTAGCAAGGAAGGGAGTACAGTGTTCGCTGGCTCTGAAGGGAGAAAAACTAATGAAATGAATGAGGTCCTCTCCTGGAAGGCTGTGCCTGACAATTACCCACCAGGTGACCAGCTGTCTCCATCCTCTTACATTTACAGGCCATAACATTTGCTGCAATTGTTTATAAAACTTCCAGAAATCCTTGGAAAGATGTCCTTTTCTGAGAAAAATCTGAAGACTTTTTTGAAGCACTCTGATGTCTATTTGAGGTTTTCAGCAGAATACCATGATGACTTTTTCCCAGAGTCAGCTTATGTTGCTGCCTGTGAGGTGTGTTACCGCACCAAGAATCCCTGGGCAATTTCTTAAAGTGTTGGTGGTTCTGTAAGAACAACTGCTCTGTCTAGCTTGGCGCTCTGGGTTCCAGACAAACAACTGTCAAGGTGGTGGGTCTTTACCCAGAGCACAAACACAATGCCCACTTGGTGGCTCTGACAGAGGTGGGCCCTATTGTTTGAGTTGCCCACATAATGTAGTTATTCTGTTAAGGATTATTTCCTGGGTGCCTGAAAGTGCTCTGACACACACTTGCTACTGTGCAGGCCATGTGTGATGGCAGGAGAAAAGCAACTATGCTCACAGTGAAATGTTCACAGAAGAGTACATAGGTTAGGCCATTTCAATAGACATTGCAGTTAATTAGCAAGAACCACATTGTTTTGTTATTTGTTACCATCAAACAGAATTTTTTTTGCAAATTGGTTTCATTCTTTTGATGAAGCTGAGCAACTCTGTCCAACAATGTTTAGTTTGTACTTGGAAACCACAAAATAGTTCCAAAGTGTTTTAGAGGGAGTCAATATTGATGGCAAAAGAAAATTTGCAGCTATAAATTTGCTTCTAACAATTTCCTCTCTGCAAAACATTATTTTTGGTGATCGAAAGAAAGCACTGCCTTTCTTGTTTGAGATTTTACAGCTATACTTTGCTATGTAATGTTATGGTTCCCTTTCTGTAAAGTGTTATTTTTGGTGATCTATATAAAGCCTTTCTTTTTTTTTTTTTTTTTTTGAGACGGAGTTTCACTCATGTTACCCAGGCTAGAGTGCAATGGCGTGATCTCGGCTCACCGCAACCTCCACCTCCTGGGTTCAGGCAATTCTCCTGCCTCAGCCTCCTGAGTAGCTGGGATTACAGGCACGCGCCACCATGCCCAGCTAATGTTTTGCATTTTTAGTAGAGATGGGGTTTCACCATGTTGACCAGGATGGTCTCGATCTCTTGACCTCGTGATCCACCCGCCTCGGCCTCCCAAAGTGCTGGGATTACAAGCTTGAGCCACCGCGCCCGGCGATATAAAGCCTTTCTTGTTTGAAAAAAAAAAACAAAAACAAGAGCAATAACATAAAAAGAAGTCTTTGCCAACACCAATATCCTGGAGAGTTTCCCCAATGTTTTCTTGTAGAATTTTCCTTATTTGAGGTCTTAGATTTCAGTCTTTAATTTATTTTGATTTGATTTTCTTATAGGGAGAGAGATGGGAGTCTAGTTTCATTCTTCTGCACAAGGATATCCAGTTTTCCCAGTACAATTTATTGAAGAGACTTTCCTTTCCCCAAGGTTCTTGACATCTTTATCAAAAATGAGTTCACTGTAGATGTATGAATTTATTTCTGGGTTCTCTTAATGTGCTCCATTGGTCTATATGTGTGTTTTTATGCCAGTGCCATGCTGTTTTGGTTACTATAGCTCTGAGGTATAATTAGAAATCAGGTACAGTGATTCCTCCAGTTTTGTTCTTTCTGCTCTGGACAGCTTTGGCTATTCTGGTCTTTTGTGGTTCTGTATAAACTTTAGGATTGTTTTCTCTATTTTTATAAAGAATACCATTCATATTTTCATAGGGATTGCATTGAATCTGTAGACTGTTTTGGGTAGTACGAACATTTTAACAATATTGATTCTTCCAATCTATGAAGATGAAATATTTTTCCTTTTTTGTGTGCCCTCTTCAATGTCTTACATAAGTGTTTTATAGTTTTTATTGTAGAGATACTTCACTACTTTGGTTAACTCCTAAGTATTTAATTCTACTGGTAGCTATTATAAATGGGGTTACTTTTTTGATTTTCAGATTGTTTGCTGTTGGCATATAGAAATGCCACTGGTTTATTTTTTTTAAGTTTTGAGATGGAGTCTTGCTCTGTCACCAGGCTGGAGTGCAGTGGTGTGATCTTGGCTCACTACAACCTCCGCCTCCTAGTTCAAGCAATTCTCGTGCCTCAGCCTCCCAAGTAGCTGGGATTACAGGCACACACCACCACATCCAGCTAATTTTTGTATTTTTTTTTCAGTAGAGACCAGGTTTCACCATGTTGGTCAGGATGGTCTCAAACTCCTGACCTCATGATCTACCCACTTTGGCCTCCCAAAGTGCTGGGATTACAGGAATGAGCGACCATGCCTGGCCAACCACTGATTTTTATTTGTTGGTTTTGCATCTTGCAATTTTACTGAATTTGCTTACAGGTTCTAATGGTTTTTTGGTAGAGTCTTTAGGTTTTCCAAATATAAGATCATATCATCTGCAAACTAGGATAATTTGACTTTTTCCTTTCCAGTTAGGATATCCTTCATTTCTTTCTCTTGTCTAATTACTAGCTAGGACTTCCAGTACTATGTTGAATAACAGTGGTAAAAGTGGGCATCCTTGTCTTGTTCTAGATCTTAGAGGAAAGGCTTTCCATTTTCTCCATTCAATATGATACTAGCTGTGGGTCTGTTGTATATGGATTTTATGGTATTGAGGTATGTTCCTTCTATACCCAGTTTTTTGAGGGTTTTTATCATAAAAGGATGTTGTATTTAATCAAATGCTTTCTTAGCACCAGCTGAAATGATCATATAGTTTTTGTCCTTCATTCTGCTGATATGATGTATCCCATTGATTTGTATAAGTTCAACCATCCTTGCATTGCTGAGATAAATCCCAGTTGGTCATGATGAATGATATTTTTAATGTGTTGTTGAATTCTATTTGCTAATATTTTGTTGACGATTTTTTTATCCCCGTTCATTCGAGATATTGGCCTTTAGTTCTTTTTTTTGATGTGTCTTTGGTTTTGTTATCAGGGCAATCCTGGTCTTGAAGAATGAGTTTGGAAATATTTCCTCCTCCTTTCTTTTTTGGAATAGTTTGAGCAAGATTGATCTTAGTTTTTCTTTAAATGTTTGGTAGAATTCTACAGTGAAGGCAATGGGTCCTGGGTTTTTCTTCATTGGAAATATATTTATTATGACTTCGATCTCATTACTTGTTATTGGTCTGCTCAGGTTTTTGATTTCTTCATGGTTCAATCTTGGTTGGTTGTATGTGTCTAGGAATTTATCCTTTTGTTTTAGTTTTTCAAATTTATTGGCATATCATTGCTCATAGTAGCCTCTGGTGATTCCTTGAATTTTGATAGTATTGGTTTTATGGCACACATGTATATGTATATATAAATACATATATATATTTGAGATGGGGGTCTCACTCTATTGCCCGGGCTGGAATGCATTGGTGTAGTGGCTCACTGCAGCCTCAACTTCCTAGGCTCAGGCAAACCTGACACCTCAGCCTCTCAAGTAGCTCAAGTAGCTGGGGCCATAGGTGCATGCCACCATATCTGGCTGATTTTTTTTATGATTATTTGTAGAGATGGAGTCTTCCTATGTTGCCCAGGCTGGTCTTGAAGTCCTGGACTCAAGCCATCTGTCTGACTCAGCTTCCCAAAGTGCTGGGATTACAAGATTGAGCCAGCATGCCTGGCTGGTTTTAATATCTTTATATGGAAAAAAATATCACAGGCAAAGTTTAAAGGCAAATGACCTACCAGAATGTGACAAAGAACTCCTGAAAACTCAGTAAAAAATAACATTTCAAGCCAGGTGCAGTGGCTTACGCCTGTAATCCCAGCACTTTGGGAGGTCATGGAGAGCAGATCATGAGGTCAGGAGATTGAGACCATCCTGGCCATGGTGAAACCACAACTCTACTAAAATACAAAAAATTAGCCAAGTGTGATGGTGCACACCTATAGTCCCAGCTACGCAGGAGGCTGAGGCAGGGGAATCTCTTGAATCCGGGAGACGGAGTTTGCAGTGAGCCAAGATCATGCCTCTGCACTCCAGCCTGGTGATAAACAAGACTGCGTCTCAAAAAAAAAAAAAATTAATAACATTTCATATCTAAAACTGATTAAAAGTTTTAAAAATGGCCGGGCGCGGTGGCTCAAGCCTGTAATCCCAGCACTTTGGGAGGCCGAGGCGGGTGGATCACGAGGTCAAGAGGTCGAGACCATCCTGGTCAACATGGTGAAACCCCGTCTCTACTAAAAATACAAAACATTAGCTGGGCATGGTGGCGCGTGCCTGTAATCCCAGCTACTCAGGAGGCTGAGGCAGGAGAATTGCCTGAACCCAGGAGGCGGAGGTTGCGGTGAGCTGAGATCACGCCATTGCACTTCAGCCTGGGTAACATGAGTGAAACTCCGTCTCAAGAAAAAAAAAAAAAAAAAAAAGTTTTAAAAATCTCAGGAACAAAACAGTAAATCTACTCTCCTTTATTTATTCTCTTATCCCATTTTAGCTGAGATGTTGAGAAGAACTAATTCCAATAGTCTCTCTTATTTCTGACCTCCCACTTTACAATGTGAAGCCTAATAGATACATTCCTAGACAGAGAATCAAACTTCACAGTCAATATATGCCCCACTCCAATTACGAAGCATGATCCTAAGTACAGATTTCAGACATACCACATTCGCTAGCTGATCCTCCCACCAACTGGAAGAACTGCTGGGCAATTTTCATATGATCCCTCTGAAAAACAAACTGAGCTGACATAGAGGAATAAGGTAAAAATATTTTATTTTATTATACTTTATGGTTCTAACATATTTGTCAGGATTTAACATATATCATTCTTTTAAATCTTGCCCCAAACAATACTAATTCTCATTAGCATAACAACTAGACCTGAAACTGAATTAAAACCTGTGCAGGGACAGACAGAAAAGAAAAAGAATCAAATCCTTAAATTCTACCCTAAAACTTCATTAAATGAACTCATTCCACAAATATCTATTGCTCTTTTATCAGGCCTTGGAACAGGAGCTATAGGTGTAACAAGGAGTATTTATTAAACTCATTCATTTATTTACATTTTTTGAGATGGAGTTTCGCTCTTATTGCCCAGGCTGAAGTGCAATGGCACAATCTTGGCTCACCACAACCTCTGCCTCCCAAGTTCAAGTGATTCTCCTACCTCAGCCTCCTGAGTAGCTGGGATTACAGGCATGCACCACCATGCCCGGCTAATTTTTTGTATTTTTAGTAGAGATGGAGTTTCACCATGTTGGTCAGGCTGGTCTTGAACTCCTGACCTCACCATCTGCCTGCCTTGGCCTCTCAAAGTGCTGGGATTACAGGCTTGAGCCACCGCACCCCACCTAAACTCATTTATTTTATAAATATTTGCTGCCTATTTACTATACAAGGCATTGCAGAATGAACTTGAGATAAGATTTATTCGTATCCCATTTTGTTCCAAAAAGAACAAAGAATGATGTGTTAAGATGGATAACAGCTTAATTTTAGACAGTGTTTTGGTGTTTATAAAAAAAAATTTTTCCCAAGAAACAATTTTCTCCAGTTTACAGATGCCAAAATTATAGCTCAGATCTATGTATGTTAAAAAAAAAGTCTCTGCAAATAAGAATGAAGTTGTGCAATGATTTTTAAATTTGTTATTAAATAAATTGCTATTTAAAAAATAGACCTCTTTTTTTTGTTTGTTTTTTGGAGACAGAGTCTTGCTCTGTCACCCAGGCTGTGCAGTAGCATGATCTCGGCTCACTGCAACCTTCGTCTCCTGGGTTCAAGTGATTCTTCTGAAAATTAAACCCTTTTAAACAAGGAGAAATCTTTAGGGTTATAGGGTTGTGGGTTTTTTTTTTTTGTTTATTTGTTTGTTTTTGTCTCTAAATACCATAACATTCTTTTCACAATGGAGTCCGAATTGGGGATAAAGAGAAATAAAAGGAGCTACAGGAGAGCCTATTGCTGCCTGCACTTCGATAGTCATTTTGTTCTCTTCCACATACCTATAACTTTACAACCGATAGATTATCAGTGATTTCATACTCACTGAACCTATTTCCTGGCCAAGGGCTGCATTGACCACTCCTTTGAGAATATACTCCTAGAAACATGGAATAACACTGATTAAGAGAAATGTGGAGCTCTGAGATCATTTTCAAATTAACTCCTTACATTAACTTAATACTTTATATAAATTATCAAAGATTACCCAGAGTTACTTTTCTCTGTTCTATCCCTAGCTTGAATGAAAGAATTAGGAGACACTCATTTAGTTACCAGCAGCCAAGTATCTATATAACACAATTTACCATATTTGTAAATTCTCCATCTTAAGCAAAAATAATTCAGTGGAAGCTCCAGGAGATAAGTTTCTTTTTATTTCAATTATATGAAAAAAAAGTTGATATAATTTTTATTACCTTCTCAACCATATCATATATATTATTTTCCCTTTCCAATCTTTTTTTTTCTGAGACAGAGTCTCACTTTGTTGCCTAGGCTGGAGTGCAGTGGTGCGATCTCAGCTCACTGCAGCCTCTGCCCCCCAGGGTTCTGGCAATTCTCCTACCTCAGCCTCCAGAGAGACTGGGATTACAGGTGCTCCCCGCACCATGCCTGGCTAATTTTTTTGTATTTGTAGTAGAGATGAGGTTTGGCCATGTTGGTCAGGCTGGTCTCGAACTCTTGACCTCAGGTGATCCACTAGCCTCTGGCTCCTGAAGTGCTGGGATTACAGGTGTGAATCACTGTGCCCAGCCCCTTTCAAATGTTATAGTAACTTTTCTTTGCTAGTACTCTTTTTCCAAAAAAAAAAAAAAAAAAAAAAGTGTCCTATGTCCATTTATAAGGCATTCTCTCTTTTGAAGTCCTGGGGCCTCACTTGTATCCTTTTCTTCAGACTGGGTTCAATTCTTTGATACATACCCTTCCTAACTAGCAGGTTTATCAAACTTTCATTTAAGAGAGCTCACAGGCTGGACACAGTGGTTCACGCCTGTAATTCCAGCACTTTGGGAGGCCAAGGTGGGCAGATCATGAGGTCAGGAGTTCGAGACCAGCCTGGCAAACACGGCGAAACCCCATCTCTACTAAAAATATAAAAAATTAGCAGGGCATGGTGGTGCATGCCTATAACCCCAGCTACATGGAAGGCTGAGGCAGGGGAATTGCTTGAACCTGGGAGGCAGAGGTTGCAGTGTGCAGAAATCAGGCCACTGCACTCTAGCCTGGGAGACAGAGCAAGACTCTGTCTCAAAAAAAAAAAAAAAAAAAGAAAAAGAGAGAGCTCAAAAAAAGGACAACATGAAAGAGGCTGAATCTTTAAACATACTTGAGAAATACACTTGTTTAAACTCCATGGGGTCTGGAAATATTCTTCATTCAGTCTTTCATTCAATAAATGGAATGTTTACCATATATTTCATGTGCATGGTGTTGGAGATACAATAAGACATAGTTCCTGACTACGAGGAGTTAATGATCCAGTGGGGAAGAAAGACAAGTTATAGACAATTTATGAGATAATTCCATGTACCTAGTTGTTTCACTGGAATTCTAAATTTTCATATTTCCAAATACTGAAGGAATTTTCCAAATTTCCTTACCCTTTTTGACAAAATGACTACATATAAGGAAGTTAAAAAACATCAAAAAGCACGGAACATTCATCCTCATACCACAAGTTGCATATAACATTCCTAAATAAATATATATGGTCTTTTCCTGGGATTCTACAGGCAGTAGTCTGCCTCATCTTCTCTAATATGACTTCCAACTAGATTTCTGAAGTTCTACTTTCAGCAGAACTTGGTTAGTAAAAATGTAAAACATTCTCAGTTACCTGAGGAGTAGTAGGTTCCAGATCCTTAATTAAGTTATAAGCTTCTTGTACATCATCTGAAATATAACAAATAAGTAATTACATTAGTCTGTATTCCAGAAAACCCTTCTGAAGCAGTCCCTCTGAAAAGATCCTTCACTACTTAAATATTCATGGGAAATATGATCTGTTTTATCTGTCTTCTAAGTCTCCATGTTCAGAGTTGAGTAGCTATGAAAAAGATAACCAATATCCTTAGAAAACTCATATTAAAGCCATGAAGCGCTTTAAAAAATGTCGAGGCTAAGAACATGGAGGAGGCATTCTATGCCAATGGCATTGTATTAGGTAAGAAAAGTAACCCTTTTTTTTTTTTTAAAAGAGAGAGATATATTAAATATATAGGAATTAAATGATACCAAGTCTGAGATTTGCTTTAAAACATTTCAGGAACAAAAAAGGGGTACTGAATGAAAAAAGAAGATTGGAAATATCTTGAAAAGTGCCGAATCTGGGGTATTTGGGTGTTTATTGTACTATTTATTTTTATGTTTGAAATTTATCACAATAAAAATAATTTATAAAATATATATGCTGTTTATTTCATTCTTGTCCAAAACATATTTCCTTTTGCTTATATATAAAATAGAGGCTGGGCATGGTGGCTCACGCTTGTAATCTCAGCACTTTGGGAGGCCAAGGCAGGTGCATCACCTGAGCTCAGGAGTTTGAGACTAGCCTGATCAACATGGCAAAACCCCATTTCTACTAAATATACAAAAATTTGCTGGGCATGGTGGTGCATGCCTGTAATCCCAATTACTTGGGAGGCCGAGGCAGGAGAATCACTTAAACCCAGGAGGTGGAGGCTGCAGTGAGCCGAGATCGCACCACTGCACTCCATCTCAAAATAATAACAAATAAATAAAATAAATAGGACTTTATGCAAGTACATGTTCTTATTTCAATAAACACATTTTCCTCCATGAGGAATATGTTGTCCTGGCTGGTTTCCAGAGCCGATGACCGAATGCCACCACAAATGGATGGTGGCTGCTACCCTGTACTCATAGCTGCCAGAAAAGGCTGCTTTAGGCATGTGTCTAACAATTTTAATCTTACTTTGGGGCAATAAATATCACATCCTCTTTGAATCGTAGTATTTCTCATAAGCAGCCTGGGGTACAAAGAAACAGAAAGACAGACAGACAAAGCAAATAAAAATCAGTTAATAATTTTTTCAAAAGACACAAGAAAATGTGGATGTACATTATGCAATGGGGAAAACTAGAAAAAGAAAGAAGAACTGTAAGGGAAGGGGAGGAACAAACAATGAAAAAGAATGGACAGAGAATAAAGGACAGAAAAATAAAAGGAAAAAGAAAAAACCGAATGAGGGAGAATAAGGTAGGAAGCAACAGAAGAGGAAAGAGGATGAAAAAGGAACAACAAACAAGCACCAATAAACTTGTTCTATGAACTTGTTGGAAATATATTTGTAGAAATATGGATTTAAAAAGTGAAATAAGCAGTTCACTCAGACATATTTAAATATTCTAAAATATCTCATTGTAAGTAAGACAAGGACAAATTTTTCTTACCTTGACGAAGGTAGTAAATCACCAAGTTTAGCCTAGCTTCAGGAATGACATCAACCAGGGGAGGTAAAACCTGCAAAGCCCCTTCACCTCCTCGGAAAACAACCTAGAGATAGAGAAATCATGCTATTACGGCAATAACGATGTATATATTTATTGGTGACAATGTTTAAGGAGCTGCCACATATAACTGGGTTCATGATATTTGACTAAAATAGCTGTGGGAACCAGTTGATACATTGAGAACTTTTATTATTGGCTGGATTTATTACTGACTACCTAATCCCTATGCTTCTTACCTTCTCTCTTCTTTTCCTTCCTCTCTGCTTTTGATCCTTCTTAACAGCCCTGTCATAATTAAACATTTTACTTTTAAACCTATATAAAACCTACCTCCATTATCAGTCTCTATAGTCTTGCCCTTCTTTATTTTTATTCATAGCACTTATATTTTTATTTTATTGTGTATTTCGTTATCTGTTTATCTGTTACGTCCACCACAATATGGCAAGGACCTTTGCATTTACTGTGTACTCCCAGTCCCTAGAACTGTGGCTAGTATAGTGCACTCAGTTATTTTTTGAAAGGACGAACATATTTTTGAAGCTCTCTGTATACATATGACCTTGATCTCATTGAAAGCAAGCCATGATCTAAATTATAGCAATATATGCCTCCTGTATACCCACAAAAATTTAAATTTTAAAAACAAAATAACTATAAGAAATAGAATGAAATCATAACCCTTATTGTGTACATCTTTTTTCCTCTTCATAAGAACTGCAGAAAACTCTTAAAGTACCCAATAACTAATAAAACTCTTTTCTAGATAGACATTCTACATCAAAAACTCCCTGAAGGAATTTATACAACCTTTTTGAGCCTGCTTCCTCATCTCTAAATGGCATTAGTAATGCCTACCTTTAGGGTTCTTATGAGGATTAAATGAGTTAAAGTGGGCTAAATGTGTAGCACATATTTCAATATTTCATTGAATTAATAGTGTGTACTACATGCCCATTACTGTAACCAGCACGGGGGTTATAGCAGGAACAGGTCACTCCCCTGTCACCATAGGGACTATTCAAGTGGGGACAGACCTCCAAAAAGCAAACAAATAAATATGTTATCAGATGATAATAAATGTTACAAAGAAAAGCTAAAAAACCAAAACAAAAAAATTCAACCATGAAAGGACAATTTATTTTGTGTACTGTTGTATTTCTAGAGCTTAGCATACTGTCTGGAATATAGCAAATTGTTTCATAAATAAATGTACAGAAAGCAAGGTCACCCCACATGAACTACATAGTTTCTTCTCTCTATCCCAAAATATCTGTTTGGTGATCTTTTTCGGTTCCTCTTTGAGATATTCCCTTCTTTTGCCAAGACTAATTCATTTACCTGTCTTCCTGATCCCACGACTTCTAACTCCATCTGGACCTCTTTTCTCCATTAATCACTGTATCTTCAATCTTCCCAAAGCCCTGGTCCTACTTCTCAACTGTAAACATACAAGGGGCTTTTGTTCTCTTGAAAAATCTTCCCCTTGGCTGCATTGTTTCCTCTGGATAGTGCCCTATTTTTCTCTTTTTCAGTGCCACACTTCAAAAGTGTGTGGCTTACTGCTTCTGCTTTCTTCTCATCCTCTCACTCAACCTCTCAAAACATTGGCTTCTGCTCTCAGCATACTAATAAACTTACTCTCACAAGTCACAAATTAATCTCTTTAGCCAAATTCAAGGGACTTTTCTGTCCTCTTCCTCCATGACGTGTCTGCAGTTTTGACACTGATGCCTACAAGATGACAGTAAGAATAACAATGCCATTTTCTAAATGCATACTGTGTGAAGCCCCTTACACATATTACCTCACTTAATCCTCACAAAAATGCAAGATAAGTACTTTCATTTTCCCTGTTCCACATGAGAACACTGAGACTCAGCAATGTTAAGTGACTTATCCAAAGTTACAAAGCTAGTACACGGTAGAACTTGATTTTGACCTCAAATCTAACATCAAAAACATCAAAAGTTGATGTTTTTTAACAAGCATTTATATTGCCATTATTTTTCAGGTTAAAAAATTATAAGAGTGGCCAGGCACGGTGGCTTATGCCTGTAATCCCAGGACTTTGGGAGGCCGAAGCGGGGGCATCACGAGGTCAGGAGTTCAAGACCAGCCTGACCTACATGGTGAAACCTTGTCTCTACTAAAAATACAAAAATTAGCTGGGCGTGGTGGCACGCACCTGTAATCCCAGCTACTCAGGAGGCTGAGGGAGAAGTGCTTGAACCCAGGAGGTGGAGGTTGTAGTGAGCCAAGATTGCACCATTGCTCTCCAGCCTGGGCAAAAGAGTGAGACTATCTCAAAAAAAAAAAAATTCATAAAATATGTGTTTATTAGAAAAAACTTAAATACAGTATTATGACATAAAAATTTCCATATTCTTACTTCTTTTTAAAATCCCACTCTTCAAGAATTATCCCTATTTCATATGTTCTGTTTAGTCATATATTCATATAGTGGTTCTTTTTTTTTTTTTTGAGATGGAGTTTTGCTCTTTTTACCCAGGCTGGAGTGCAATGGCATGATCTCAGCTCACCACAACCTCCACGTCCCGGGTTCAAGCAAGTCTCCTGCCTCAGCCTCCTGAGTAGCTGGGATAATAGGCATGTGCCACCATGCCCGGCTAATTTTTGTATTTTTAGTAGAGATGGGGTTTTCTCCATGTTGGTCAGGTTGGTCTCGAACTCCTGACCTCAAGTAATCTACCTGCCTCAGCCTCCCAAAGTACTGGGATTACAGGTGTGAGCCACTGCACCTGGTCCATACAGTGGTTCTTTATCTTAGCTGTATCCACCTGGGATGCTTAAAAAAGATACTGATAGCTGGGCTCTAGAGCAACCATTAAATAAGGAGCCCATGCATCATGAATTTCAAAAGCCTCCCAGGTGATTAAAATGTGTAGTTGTAGATGACATTACATTATCTAGCTGCTGCTTCTCTGTCCTTCCTTGTCTCATTTGCTAATACTCCTTCCTCCAGTCCGAGAAATACAGATGTTGTTTTGGAACCATATTTTTCTATTTTTAATCCTTTCTACATGATTTATTTCACTTCAGCAATTGGAAAACTTCCATATTAATTTGTCAAGACTCTCACAATAACTCCTAAATCTATTCTCAAGCCTTTATCTTTCCCCAAGCTTAAATTCCGGGCTACTATATAACCCATAATTCTTCACAAAAATTAATCTGGCTTCAACTTATAAACTAGATTTGAAGTTAAAAGATTAGATGCAGAAACTCATAGAAGAAACTATCCAAATAAAACTGTATCTATGATAGAGGCCTGAATTAGAGAAGAAAGGGAGTAAATATAAGACATTGACAACAAGAAGAGAATAGGATTTAGTAACTGAATAGATATTGGAGATAAAGAGAAGGGGAGAGTCTAAAACAGCTGTGGTTTACTGGAGGAATTTGTACTACAAAAAGGAATAGAGAATCAGAAGGAAAAAGCATAGTTATTATTATTGCCACTTTTGGATGAAGAATATCAGACAGTAGTATTTGATGATTTGCCCAGTGATCCCAGGTATCTAAATTGAGAGCAGCTTTTCTGCACCTCATTCTATTACGTGAGTCAATAGAATCAGAATCTAGTCCTAAACCCAACCACACATCCAACTTAAGTGTCTGCTATTCCCCAGTACAAATTTACTGTTTCAGTAAAATCGATCTGCTCACAATCTTTTACATATGTCAGCCTCATTCTATCTCCACATCCTTGAATAGAATGAACCCTCTAAATCTCAGCCATCCTTCAAAGATGCAAAAATATTTCCAATTTATTTTAATCCACAGGGGGATATGTTCCTTTGTCTTTCCCAAAAAAACAAACACTTGGATCTACACTGCCTTGTGCTTCTTTCCAAATATTATATATATTCCTGTTCTCCCAACAAGGATTTCCTTAAGGAAACAAACTAATATTTTAAAACTTATCTCCTCCATAGTAAGAAGGCATTCCCTTGGAGTAAAGCATTATTTGCTGGGGCATCTCCTTTTATTCATCTTTCTAATTGCTGTGATATACCAAAACAGAGTAGGACTGAAGTCAGTCAAGATGGGAAACCGTTATTCACCAGATTGTGCCTGATGAGTTCTTTAGCAAATTCGAAGGATGAAGAAGCATTGTCCATCAAGCTTTTGAGTTCTGCCTGAAATTTAAAAAAGAAAGGCTTATGAAAATGACAAGTGTATCATTCTTATATCACATATTTACACAATGATTTATAATTTGCAAATAATTTAACTATTTCATTTGATCCTCATGTCTCTAGGTCAATGTAATTATTATTGCCCACATTTTCAAATGAGGGCAATAATAAATGAAAACAATGAGGCTTATAAAAGTTAAGTAACTTGAAACTTATACTAAGCAGCAAGTTTGAAAACTGGGGTACTCAAGTCTGAAGATTCCTAGAGTTAGTTTTTTCTTTCAGTGTCAAAGGTGATTAAGGAGCTAAGCCTTTAAGAACTAAGGTTGATTCTTTAATCTGAAAGGAGATTTTGAGAAATCTTCCTTTCATTCTCTTTATATTTCTATTAGTGGGTTGCTAAGCTTTTCTAGATAAAATCATTAAATTCTGGATTGTTCTTTACTAACTACCACAAACTCATTCTGCCTGATCTCATAGTTAAGAATGCATGTCTGCTCAGCATTGTTTTTATTAATCACTCTTCTCTTGTCTACAGTACAATTCCAAAGTTTTGGGTAATACTAGGCTATATCAGTTTTCAAGTTTTTTGATCTTTAGATCCCTTTTATACTCTATAAAGGATCTCAATTTTTGTTTATATGGGTTATAGCCGTCAATATTTATCATAGTAGAAATTAAAACAGAAATTTTTAAGTATTCAATTCATTGAAAATGGTAGGAATCATATGCCTTAAAATATGGTGGAATTAACATTTCATCTCAATTTCAGAGCAACTTGTCATTACTGCAAATAAAAACATTAAAATTTTTTAAAAGTTTAAAAATAATAATAAACCCACTACACATTGAAATACATAATTTTTACTTTAAATAAATGTATTTATCAAATCAAAAATTTAGTGAGAAAAATATTACTGTTTTACATTTTTTGCAAACCTCTAATGTCTGACTTAACGGAAGATAGATAGACTGGCATATCTATATCTGCATTCGATCTATTTTGAGACCACATTGTCTCAAGCAACAAGGACAAAAAACAAAGCCCAGTGCCAGCACAAGGTGGAAAGTCTAGTGAAAGACCCTTTCCACAATCAGCAGGAACTACCAAAGAGCTACGCTGGCAGAAGAAGGATAAAATGGAACTCGACTATCCCTTGTGCAGAATGACAGCCCAGTGAGAATCCTATGAGCAGTTCCAGGAATCTCAAGCCTAAGTTTGGTCTAAGGTGGTCTCAGATTTATAGTCCTCGTACTCATCTGGCAGAGCAAATGCATATCATTTAGAAAGGACAGTACCTTCCTTGCAGATTTTAAATTATTTCTATAAGCATTTTTAAAAATACTGTGTCCAGCATACAAACATAACCTGATGTACTGGTTATGTACAGAAACTGGACTCCATGAGGGAGAACCAGGAGAAAGAAGAAAAAACAGAATCAAACACACACAAAAAAGCTTAAGAAATGTAAATTATTAAACTCAGATCACAATACAATGATGCTGACAATTTCGTTTGTGTGTGTGTGTGTGTGTGTGGTTTTTTTTTTTTGAGAAACTGTCTCACTCTATCACCCAGGTTAGAATGCAGTGGCGTGATCATGGCTCACTGCAGCCTTGACCTCCTGGGCTCAAGCACTCCTCCACCTTAACCTTCCAAGACCCTGGGATAACAGGCATGCAACACCACACCCAACTAATTATTTTTATTTTTTGTAGAGATGGGGTCTTGCTACGTTGCCCAGGCTGGTCTCAAACTCCTGGGCTCAAGCAATCCTCCAACCTTGGCCTCCCAGTACTGGGATTACAGGCATGAACCACCACACCCAGGCCATAACTCTGATGTTTGCTCTTGCTATAATTTTAGCAGAATTCATGCTTTTCTGATAGGGGCTCTTTTGAAACTGATGTCTTATCCTTCTTAGTGCCTCAAACTAGATCCTGTCCAGACATGTTTTAATAAATTAGTATGAGTTTATTTTGGTGGAGAAAAAAACTGAAATCCATGCACAGTATTTTTTTTTTTCCCCGAGACGGAGTCTTGGTCTGTCGCCAGGCGCCAGGCTGGAGTGCAGTGGTGCAATCTCAGCTCACTGCAATCTCCGCCTCCTAGGTTCAAGCAATTCTCCTGCCTCAGCCTCCTAAGTAGCCAGGACTACAGGTGCACACCACCACGGCCAGCTAATTTTTTTTTTTTTTTTTGTATTTTTTAGTAGAGATGGGGTTTCACCATGTTGGCCAGGATGGTCTCGATCTCTTGACCTCGTGATCCACCCACCTCTGCCTCCCAAAGTCCTGGGATTACAGGCATGAACCACTGCGCCCCACCAGTTTTTTCATAATATGTATTTTCTCTGAACTTTTTGGGGACCCCTTGTATATAAATTAATTTTAAAAAGTTATAGGATTAAAAACCACAGTTGGTTTTTAAAAAAGACTACAAAAATGTGAAAATGTAAATAAATTTATCAAATTTTTAGAAAAATTCAACTTACCAAAAATAACACAAGAAGAAACAGAAAACACGCATAGTCCTATAACCACTAAGGGAACTGAATTAAGCAATCTGAAACCTTCCAAACCCAGACAGTTTTAACAATAAGTTCTACCAAACATTTAAGAAAAAAAAAAAGCCAATCTTATACAAACTCTTCCAGAAAATAGAAACATATGGTACCTGCTTCAATTCATTTATTTTCCTTTGAGATAACCTTTGCACCAAAACCTGACAAGAACTATATGTACCAGAATCAGGGGTAATGGTGTGGGCCCAGTGGTCTGAAGCCTTGCCTTTGCCAAATCTTCCATGGTACCTTTGTTAAGCTCAAGAAGCCTTCAGTTAACATGGTGAGGACTGTAAAAGCATACATTACATGGAAGTATCCAAACCTGAGGTCAATTAATGAAGTGATGTACAAGCATAGCTGTGGTAAAATCAGGAAGAAGCAGATTGCCTTCACAAATAACACTCTGACTGCTTGATCTCTTGGTAAATATGGCATCATCTGCATGCAAGATCAGATTCATGAGATCTACACTATTGGAAAACACTTCAAAGAAGCAAACAACTTCCTGTGGCCCTTCAAATTATCTTCTCCCTGAGGTGGAATGATGAGAAATATCACCCACTTGGTAGAAGGTGGAGATGCTGGCAACAGGGAAGACCAGATCAACAGGCTTAGCAGAAGGATGAACTATGGTGTTCACTGTGATTATTTTTGTCACTGGTCAGTTAATAAACAGTGACTGGTTTTAAATTGAAAAAAAAATCTATTGTAGTTCTGCATCACTACAGAGTTAAAAAATGAAATTTCAAATAAGATACCACTTACAATGGCATACATAATACCAAATTCCTAGAAACAAATCTAACAAAACACGTAAAAAGACCAATACAAAGGCCAGGCATGGTGGCTTCTGCCTATAATCTCAGCACTTTGGGAGGCTAAGGCAGGCAGATCTGAGCCCAGGAGCTCAAGACCAACCTGGGCGATGTAGTGAAACTTGTCTCTATCTTAAAATTTTTTAAAAATTTGCTGGGCACAGTGGCACGCACCTGTAGTCCCAGCTACTTGAGAGGCTGAGGCGCAAAGATCACTCAAGCCTGGAAGGTAGAGGTTATAGTAAGCCATGATCCAGCCATGGCACTTCATCTAGCCTGGGTGACAGAGACAGAGTTTGTCTCAAAAAAAAGAAAAAAAAAGACCAATACAACAGAAAAAAATCGCAAAACCTGAGTGAAATAAATTAAAGATCTGGCTGGGTGCGGTGGCTCATGCCTGTAATCCCAGGACTTTGGGAGGCCAAGGCAGGTGGATCATCTGAGGTCAAGAGTTCAAGACCAGCCTGGCCAACATGGTGAAAACCCAGCTCTACTAAAAGTACAAAAGATTGGCTCGGTATGGTGGCAGATGTCTGTAATCCCAGCTACTCAGGAGGCTAAGGCAGGAGAATTGCTTGAACCCAGGAGGTGGAATTTGCAGTGAGCCAAGATCAATCACGCCACTGCACTCCAGCCTGGGCAACAAGAGTGAAACTTCATCTCAAAAAAAAAAAAAAAAGAAAGAAAGAAATCAAAGATTTAAATAAATGAAGAAAGATACCACACTCATGTTTTTAAAGACTTAATATAAAAATGTCAATTATCTCCCAACTCATCCATGAATTTAAAGCAACACAATTAAAATCCTGACAAGTTTGTTTTTGTGTTTGGATTTGGCGGGCTTGTTTTAGAATTCATAATGAAAGATAAAGAGACAAAAATCTCCAAGACACCCTTAAAGAACACCAATAAGATGGCAGAACTTGCTAGACCCACTGCATATGAAACTTTATTACAAATCTGTAGTAATTAAGGCAGTGTGGTATTGAGAGCAGGGATACACAAATAGATCAACAGAATACAGAATTCAAAAGCAGACATATCTAAACACTGGAATTATTTTCCAAAGGTGGCCGAATAGCAGGAAAAGATTGATCTTTCAATAAATCGTCTCAAACAATTAGTTATTCTTAGGGGAAAAAAAATAAAATTTGACCTCTGCCTCTCAGTCTACACAAAAATCAATTCCATGTAGAATATGTACTTAAATATAAAAGAAAATTAGGAAATAAACAACATACCTTAAATAACAAATGGGTAGAAGAAACCAAAAACAAAATTAGAAAATACTTTGAGGCCGGGCGCGGTGGCTCAAGCCTGTAATCCCAGCACTTTGGGAGGCCGAGGCGGGTGGATCACGAGGTCAAGAGATCGAGACCATCCTGGTCAACATGGTGAAACCCCGTCTCTACTAAAAATACAAAAAATTAGCTGGGCATGGTGGCGCGTGCCTGTAATCCCAGCTACTCAGGAGGCTGAGGCAGGAGAATTGCCTGAACCCAGGAGGCGGAGGTTGCGGTGAGCTGAGATCGCACCATTGCACTCCAGCCTGGGTAACATGAGTGAAACTCCGTCTCAAAAAAAAAAAAAAAAAAAAAAAGAAAATACTTTGAGATAA